GTAATCTATACTATTATAAATCAAAAATCTCTTAATCATTTAACCCTATTAACCACAACAGTAGTTAAATCACCACCCTAATTAATTTCGCTAGCCAATCAGATTTCAAAACAAAACAACAAAAAAACGCCCGTAGCTTAAAATTTTGCCTATGAAAGTACCTTCTGCGTACTAACAAAAAATTTTCCTCGTGAAATTTTACTATAATTATAGCACTTTAAACCAATACTAATTTACTGAAAAATGTAATAAAACTTACACTAAATAGAAATCGTCTATTTTTTAGTCACTGAAATTGAGGATGTATTTTACAAACCCAATTCCGAAAGTTCGCTGATATTTTTACTGCATTACAGTATTTCGACACTACGGCATTACGGCATTACGGCAAATAATACGGCATATGCCGTTGCCGTATTAATTTGCCAAATTAATTCTACCGCCAACTATAAGCATGACTATCGTCATGCATCCCGTTATTATATTATGACCTGAACTATATTTGAGTGTCGCTAAAAGAAAACCCGAAAATTTAAATATGACTTATATTTAAATTTTCGGGTTTTCTTTTAGCTACACTCATTTGTAATTAGACTGATGTTGTACACCCCAATGAACTATACACGTATTTCTCTAAAATTATCTCTGTCTTTATTTTTATTGTTTGTTTAATCATTTCGGTTGAATCGCATTTCAACTGTCCTTTAACTGCAAATTCTCATGAAGCCCTTCAAACATTCATTATTCAGCTTTCCTCAACAGCCTCAAGGGATACAATAAATAATCATTATGCAATGTTAGCATCATGTTTTAATAAAATCATTAGTGACGATTCCACTATTAAATTAGACCATCATAGCATTATTAAAGATGTCAGTTTTGGTTCATTCATTTGCTACATCGGAAAGTTTGGTCCTAGTGATGCTACTGGATTGGCTAGTTTACCTGAGGTTGCTCATGTAGAAAGTAGTAAATCATTTAATATTCTTGGTATTTTTCCCCCAACGCCACTTTTCCTCAAACACCTACTCTAACTCCTACCATGCCTATCGTAAATTTTATTCCTACACAAGTTCTTATTTTATTTGAAATTACCCGAATATATAATAAACGTTAATGATATTTTATCTAAATTTTTTTTCAGAATTTGGATCGTATTGACCAAAAACGTCGTCCATTGAATGGAAAATATACTTATCCTAGTAGTGCTGGTTCTAATGTAAATGTTTATATTGTTGATACGTAAGTTATTAATTTCCACGTTAATTAAAATAAAAAAATTGTATAAAACAATAATTATTTATTTATACATTCAATGTTATTTCACATATACAGAGGTGTTAATGTAAATCACTTAGAATTTGGCGGACGGGCAAAACTTGGTCCTGTTTTATGTGAAGGATGTCCGAATATAGATGATTTTGGGTATCTATTTTTGATAATCATAATAAATAATTTAAATTATTTAATCATTTTTATAATTTTTTTTGTTTTTTTAAAAAAAAAAGCCACGGATCAAATGTCGCAGGGATTGTAAGTATTATAAATTTCATTTGTAAACCTGTCAACTACTTATCTTAATAATTTACTTAAATCATATTAATAGGTTGGAGGTATTAAAAGTTATCAATAAACTATTATTGTAAAAATTTCTTAATGAATTTGAAATTATTTCAGGAACTATATATGGTGTAGCAAAAAATGTATCTCTAATTTCCGTTAAA